AAGCTGCCCACCAGGCATAACCAAGAGTTTGCAGAAGCTCGAAAGAAGGCACGGGTGTGATGCACGCGCGCCTGACACAAAGCCTGGCTTGCGAAGCTTGCCGTTGTGTGGCACCGCAGTTCGAGATGGAGACGGAGCCGCGAAATCCTCGCTTCAGCAAGGATTTGCTCAACTTGAGAAAGATCCAGGAGCCCACACCCCCGTAAGTATGTTTTGGTGGGACTAATGTGCAGCCGCAGATGTGTAAATTGCAGGACACATTGGCCAAGATGAAGAAGTGCGGCCCTTTGTGTCAAAAGTTAAGAGTAAACAAAGGCTGGTTGTGTAAATGTTTGAGGTACTCAGAAGCATCAAAAACGAAGCAGCAAGCAGACGTCGTTGAGGCATCTCCCTTTAAGACGGGGGCAGCACTCTCGAGCGGTGGACGAATCGACTTCATCCGCAGCAAATTGCATCGGCATGTTTTCTTGGTCGGCAGGTAAGTGCATGGCACCCGGGGCATAGATGTTTGTTTCCTTGGTGGTCGAGTGATTACCAAATTCAATGGGAGCCTCCTCTTTGGCGTGTCCCACCTGCAGGCGAAGGAAAGAGAAGCTTGGAGCGCCAAGCGCGAAACCAAAATCCGCGGGCTGGAGGATTGGCGAACACACGGCAGAACGTTTTGAATTTGTTCGAGAATTCCCGTGCCCATGCGCTGCTGATGAAAACATGCGTTCAGGAGCAGTTCTTGCATAAGCAATCCCTGGAAATGACCGGCCTGACGAAGCGCATCGTCTCCGGTCGGGAGGCCGGGGTCGCATGGCAGTGGCGGGTGATCCACAAGCTCTGCTCACCTTGGGCATAACACATAATCTCGCGCCTTTCAGTCCCTTAGCATGTGACCCCCTGATAGGAACAGAAGCAGGCGAGAAAGCTGGAACTTCAGCGATTGCTACAGCGATACCACAACGCGCGATCCCTTTTGATGGTCTGCGCTCTGTAATCGCCTCTCTTGGACTTCCGGCTGAGTTTTTCCTGCTGGCTGTTTTTTGTGATGTCTTTAGGAATGCCCTCTTACGAAACTGTCTGCAGACAACCGACGCCTAAATTTGTCCCACATGGGCAGCACGAGCCAGAGCACATCTGGTCATTGGATTGCAGATTTGTTGGAAGATTCGAAGCCTTCACCACGAAGGACATGAAGAGCTTTGTGTCACTGCTAGCATTCAGAACTCGATTAGAGGCCAAGGCCCAGCAGAGCCATGGTCGCTGAGCTGGCGCCGCTGGCGCCGCCGAAGTCGCCCTTGTGTCAAGAGCTCGGACACGGCTCTGAGTGCTCGGGGCCTGTTCTGCCTGCACTGTCCCGGTTTCTCCTTGGTCCATGCCAGGAGATCCTCCACAGCCTAACCCGGTACCCAGACCCAAAACCTGCAAGCCACACCGCAGGAGGACGACAAGTAGAGAGCACGCGCACAGCTGGACCAGAGCCGTAAAGCAGTTAGACAAGTGCAGCGCATCTCTCGCGTCATGGAGCCATGGACTGCACCGGGCTTTGGCAACCCGCGTCCCCAGACCGGCGCTGAGTGCGTAGAGTGCGTCAGCAGCAGATCTTCACAGGCTGCTGTTTCCATTCAAGTGCGGGCCCTCGGGCCCTCGTCCCAGGTCGCACAAGTTCCTGCAAGAGACGCTCACGAAGCTGACCCAGGACCTGCTGCTGAGATCTCCCTATCAAACGGTTCAGCGCAAAGTGTCATTTAAGAAGCTTCCATTCGCCGCCGCCCCTCCCCGCCCCCCACCGCTGCTGGTTTGTCTTTAGTTTTTGGGCTTCGGCCATCCGTCAATGTCCTCATCGGCCGTGTTTACGTTACTCGCCATGTCAGTGTGTGCTTCAATCTCGGCGGCAACAGATCGGCTGTTGATTGACTCCAGGACTGCTAGATGGCTTAGGGCTCAAAGGGTTTAAACGAACAAGCGTGCTTCCGGGCGTAATGTCTGTCTGCCTGCTTGCCTGGCTGCCTGCCTGCCTGGCTGGCTGGCTGTCTGTCTGTCTGTGCGCGTCTGTCTGTTTGTAGCTCTGCCTTAGGCGTGGGTGGGAGGGACGGAGGCTGTGTAGGAGAATGTGGGAGAGTATCATTTGTTGTTGACTCGAACCCAGCTCTGGGGACCTTTCTTCCAGACAGTACAGTGGAGTTTCAGGGGGCACGGCATCAGGCCGCGCCATGCGAGCAAACGGGCATCGAGAGCAGACCCAACGTTCGGTGACGCGAGGTCGACTTCCCACAACATGAGCGTCAGGCAGTGGTGACAGCACGGGGGCGGTGGTCCATGCGGCGCTGGACGTGTCTGGCAGCACATTCTGGCAGCGCATGCGAACTGCGGCGTCCAGGAGGCGATGCCTCGGTCGTTGCGGTGGGCACCGGGGCCCAATTCATGCATGCGTCGGGGACTTCGATGAACCCAGACGCTGGTCCCTCCGCATAGTCCCGAACAGTTGTATGGGCTGTTTGGTGGCCCATTGCAGCTAGTTGAGTCTTGCTTGGTGGTTTGGTTGTTTTTGGATAGGGCTGTCTATTTTGCCTTGGAGCAATTGCAGCGACAGAACGGTTTAAGCGCATGGGCCCTTGACTCTGGACTCTAGACCAGCTTGCAGGACAGCATCCGTGCAGGAAGCCCAACCATGACCAAACCCGCTCGGGGCTGAGCTGCGAGTTTTGCAGGCAGGGATCCTGGCGTGGAGGAGGGGCTGCTTCGCGCCAGGACGCGATGGACTCCCGGGTCGCGAGGGCACCCACATCTGACATGGGCCCATGGCTTGGCAAGACTACTGCCAACCTTGCAAGTGCACTCATCAGGGAGGAGAGCTGATGAGGTCTAGGGCCCCCGGACACTCGAAGATCTCCTCGGACATGGGCCGGCTCGCGCCTCTCGCTGCGGGCTTAGCACTTCCTGTTGCAGTCTAAGAAAGCGTTTCAAATCCGCCTTTCAGGCCACTGCAGGAGTACTTCGGGGACCTGAGAGCCTTGGTGGTTATGATCGCTGAAGTCCTGACCGGTTGCGAAACGTGGCGATTCTCTGAGGATCGGCCGTGCGCGAAGAGGTCGGCACCGCTTTGGACAGCGGTGTGGTTGCTCAGGTTCTGGAGGGCTGGAGCTCGCAGTTCGCTGCGTGGCGGAAATCCGATGACCATGTGGTCAGGCCGCCAGGGCCAAGGCTTTCTTCTCGTTACACGACGTATACTGGTAATTCGTAGGTCGTAGGGTTGTGGTGAGAGTAGTTGGGGCTCCGTAGGTTGAATGCGGATGCGCTGGTATTTGGGGTGTCCTTTGGTTTGCTGTGTCTCGCGTCGCCTCGATGGAGCCCTCCAGGCAGCTCAAGGGTCACATCAGCGAGCTCGAAGATGCAAATCGTTCCTTGGTCAGCTTTCTGAACGAGTACATCACAACTTCGGAGTTCGTGGCTTGGCAGAAGCTAGTCCGTTTTCACTCTTGCACTCCACAGTTGCTACATCACCCTGCCTGGCAAGCTGCTTCAGGCAAGATTCAGAGAGGCCATGAACAAGTACTCGAATCTGGTCGATGAGCTCTCCGACTCACATCAAGGTCATGAATCCGTTTTACTCTCCGCGGTCGAGCATGTAGTGGAGAAGGCGGTGAAGGCGGCCACGAGCAACATCGCACAGCTGATAGAGGACGTAGAAGTAGATGTTGAAGTTCATTGCGAAGCCTCAGCTCATTCGGAGTAACACAGAACCTCATGGACCTTTTGCCGTAGACTGGGCGGGGTCAGATACTTCAGGATCTGGCGCCAGTAGCGCTCCCAGCTACGCACAGAAACCGCAGGCGGAAACAGCTGTGTCTATGCTTCTGCTCCAATGGAAATGAAGTGTGCTAGGCTTCTTCCCATCCTCATGATTCACTGGCCTCTGACCCTAAACCTGAGCGACTTCCAGGAAGGCATGCTTCCGGTCCTTGAGAGGTTTCCAGAGTGCTTAGCTTACTTCAAGCGCTTTCCTCGGTGTCCTGCCCTGCAGAGCAGTCTCACTCGCACGTTGAACGAATGAGTCTTGTCGAGCTTAAGTGCGTCTCCCTACGGCCTTGATTGAGACGCTCAAACTCTCTCGACACAGCGAATGTGTTCAAACCGCGAGGAGAAGATGGCGCAGCAGGTCACAAGGTATGCCACAGAACAGCAGCGTCAGATTGACACGGTCCTGGAGAGCGTTCAAACCTATGCAAGTCAAGTCTCGCGGCAGCTCGAGAACCAAGATGTCGTTCTCCAAGCGAAGCTGGGCTCCGTGATGCATGACATTGGCAGTGAAATGCAAGAGAGGATGCAAAAGTCTGCAGATGAGATCAACGTGTCGACACTCAAAGCACCCGGGCAGGTTTGGAAGTTTTCTGGGTGAAGGATGGAATCATAGGTGTTTGTTCCGCAACGCCCCTTTTTGCACGTGGCAAAATGAGGCGGCACACGAAGGAGCTGATCGCATGAAGATGGTTACCATCGGCGAGCATGAGAAGCTGCGCTCCTACATGCAGAGACTCATAGCTGGAGATGAAGAAGAATTAGATGAGAACGACGAGGCTGGGGTCCTCGTCTGTCCTAGCAATGAAAGAAGCTTGGAACTGGTTTCCAATGGAGAAGCACACGTAATCACTTACCTGATGTGCACGAATGTTTCTCTCGCCTACGTGTCCTGACCGCGGCCAGACCTGAGATTGCGGTAGTCTGCCCGTCGTAGTTTCATGTGCAGGTGACGGGCGTCCGTTGGCCGATGGTGCACGCTTACACGCAATCAATGAACGACGGGGTTTCCACGCGACATAGGCATGTAGCGGTCTCTACTCGAAAGAAGGGAACGTTGTTGCACCAGGGAGAAACAGCCACTGCAGCGCCACGAGAATATGTACTGGCGGACTTTATCAGTTGCACGAGTACTCATTGTGTTTGTTAGCAGCCGAAAGGCATCTCCGAAAGGATGTTCAGCTGTGCAGTCTTGAGCCTGGCAGGGACTACGCCCAATGCTGCTGCACTTCCGGGAGCTCTTATTCCAGGGGGTATCCACCAATGAGCAAGCGGAGAACTGGCGCAAGGTCTCAGAGCAGGCCGAGAGCGACATGCAGGCGCAGAGAAGACTGGCAAACACAGTCAGGGAGAATCAGGTGTAAGGGTTGAGGGCGATGGTGCCAGGCTGCCAAGCAAGAACTCGAGCTGTGCCAAACTGAATCCGCCGAGCTGCAAAGAAAGCTGACGGAAGCCGAGGCCCTTTGAGAGTGAGAGAAGCTTGCGAGCTTCTTGTAGCACCTGAGTATTTCCGCGCCTTATAGTCTTGTAGCATTATGGTCCAAATCTCCCCTCTTTCCTGGCTCTTAAAAAAGGGCCTTAGAGTCTCTAAGAGGCGAATTTGGAGCAGCAGGGCAGCGAGCTGAGCGTCGCGAAGGTGGCGATGGCGAAGCCCTGGCCATGGACCGAGCAAAAGCAAAACAGAGCTAACAGAAAAAAGGGCCCCCAACAAACCGACAAAAAATGGCCCCCAAAGCATAGCCCTTTGAAAGGCCTGGGGGGGGGAGGACCTTTTGGGTGACTTTCCCAAGTCCTTTCTCTTCGGCTCTTGCCCGTGTGGCCAGGACCAGATATGCGGCCTTCATGGATGAGATTTCCTCCCGCGGTCAAGTCAAAGTGAATGTCTACGAAGAGTGGGTCGAAATCACTGCAGGCATGGGCTTCGCACCTCGCAAGGAAAAGCAGCCGCCAACAGCTGAATGGATAGATCCTGCCTCTGCCGATGCTGCCCTGCGACTCGCCATGCACCAAAGCTTGGGTCTCGTATGTTTGATGGCCGACGAGGATACGGGGGTGATGACAATGACGACGGCTACTGTGACGATGCGACTGCTCGCGGTGCTGATGATTATGATGATGACGACGATGATGACAAGGGGGAGGAGGGACAGGAAGAGGAGGGTGAGGATGGTCATGATAGAGTCATGGTGATGATGGCGGTGGCAATGATGGCGACGGTTTATCATCGGGATTCTTCTTGACGCGTTCGCGTTGCTTTCCCTTCCAGACCCCATGCGTTCCTTCAGTGAGGTTAGATGCACTGGAAGTGCTGCACTGCTTCGGCGAAGTGCCGATCACCATAGAAAGCCACGTCAAGAGTGGCAAGGGCAAGGCAGACTTCTGGGATGCCATTGCAGCCAACAGAGCAGAACTGGTGAGGCCAGCTGCTATTTTCAATTAGGCACATAGGACTACTTTAGCATGTAGATATGTCTGAGAATGGAGGTGGAGATAGGTTTGCAAGGCCAGGATGGGTTCTGAAAGTTAGGATAGCAGGCCACGAAATGATACCGGTGTTTGTATGTACTGTTGATTTACAGATACATATGACGAATAGCGTCGTGTTCCAAATGAACAAAAATGATACAAAAAGTGTAGTGTTCAAAAGATTAAAAAAATGTATGTGTAGTAGCACAAGTCTGACATTACAGTTCATTCCATGTCTGACTGTATTAAACAATGAACAAGTCAATAACGTAATGGCAACAATAACATTGGTAAACGAAATGGTAAAACTACACTTGACATGGTGAATGAGATCTACAAGGACACATCAGCATTCTCGATGTGTTTGAGAATGCAGGCGGAGATAGGTTTGCAGGGCAATGATGGTTTCCTAAAGTTCGAATAGCAAGCCACGAGATGCTGCGAATTGCTACGGGTGTTCTTATTCACTGTTGATTTGACAGTTACACATGACGAATAGTATAGTGGTGCAAAGACTACAAGCCTTAAATAGAAAAAGCTCGGAAGTTCTTCGTTAAAAGACCATAGCAAGAGTTACGCTGCACATAAATGATGTTCTTGGGAGGTCTTGCGCAGCTATTGCTAAGTCTAAGTGGTGAGACGTAATCTGGCTTGCACATGATGGCACGCACGTGTACAAACAAGACGGGATGAATGAGATTGAACGTTGCGAAGGAAGCGTTACACGGCTTCTGTCATGTCCATGGATAAACATGGAATCAAAACAATACTCTTAAAATAGCTTCTGTGGGGAAGTAAAGTTGTATAATCTAGTAATGTGTATATTCAAAGAGGGTTTTACATTGCTTCGGTTCAAGACTTAGGATTTGGGTATGGGGATGCCTGGCAAAAGCGCATGCCGCTCATGACCAAGGATACCGTTTGAGAGAGGAATCGATCACGTCTGGTGGTGGTTAAGATGTGTGGTTCTTTGCTTGTTTTTTGTTTTTATGATTTCTTGGGTCTCCCAATGTATGGTGCCAATTCTCCACAGCACTCGGAGCACCAAAACTGAAGTAACAGACAGCCTAAACTTCCGCCGCGTTCTCAAGACCTTTGCTTTTAAGGTTTGTTGGTGTGAAGCCACACGAGAGCAGACCCAAAAGGCACAAAACTCAATGCATGTCGGCATTCTACGGATTTATTTGTGTGTTTCGGCTTGGGTTGGTTGCTTCCAGCCGGACGAAACCAAGGCTTGAATCCCAAACCCACTCGAAAAGACAGAATCGCTTGCGCGAGCAATGTTCTGAAAGGGGTTGGTCTGGCACCGGGGGAGTCACAGTATAAAACAATATAAAACTTACAGTAGTAGCATGTGGTATGGAAGAACATCTAAGGATGTAAGCAGCAGCCAATAGAAAATGCCGAGAAGTTCCTGCTACATAGTACAGCATACATGCACGCGCTGTCCAGTCGAACGGGGTCCCTTGGCATTTGGTGTTAATGCTTTATGCATGTTGCAACCGCGTCAAGTCATGAAACGGCCGTCCAGTCATGCTCGGAAGGAGGCCGGATTGGCGTCGTAGCGGGCTTCAGTAGCAAACCCTGAGTGCAGGGACGCCTTGGAAGAGAAGGGCGTGCCGCTCTTGCCTGAGAAAAGCCTGCTTCACAGACAGGAGGCGCATGCACGCGCAATCGAGAGCATACGTGAGGGCGACCGGATCCCAGGTTTCGGCAAATGACTGCAACCGGCCTCTACGGCAAGGCAGGGCTTGACAGAAACTGTATCATACTGCGGGTGAAGCTCTTTCCACAGAATGAGGCTGCCAGCCAAAAAGGAAGTCCCAGGGGCAAGGCCAAGTAGCCGCCTCTTCCTGACCCCGATATGTTCTGGAAAACCTGCACCTAAAACGTATGTCCCCTAAGCCTCGGGCCTCGAGCAGCCGACTACCGTCCGTCATGGCAGATTGGCTGCTGCCTACTGTATTTCCACAGGCTTGTGCTGTCTGCAGTGCTGTTTTCAAGTCTTATTGACACCATACAGTTGATCGCCTGCCTGAGCCAAGACGGTTCGGCAAGTGGGTAGGTCAGCATGAAATGTGACATGCTGCAAAGAACATCACCGTCTCACCTGTGTTAACAAAGAAATTCTATCAATGCGTGAGATAGAAAAGGTTCCAATTGCCTTCGCTAGGCAGGGCGAGCATACCACGTGTATGAATAGCGGTGACCATCCATGTTCTGGTGAGGCTGAGAAGTTGACTCTTCAGCGTCGTGACTCGAACTCAGGTAGGCCCATGCAGCCCCCTGGATCCGGGCGACCGACAAAACGACTGCGTGCGGGCCTCGCGCTACCCCAACAAAGTCGCGTGGCTTTTGGATTATGTGGCTGGACATGGCAGGTCCTTTGCCTTCAGCTGCAGAGATGCGCACTTGGCATGTGTTGCGAGATCATGGAGCTCTCGTGTTGGAGCCCGGGCCATGACGGGAACAGTTGCTGAACGAGTCGCAGAGCCAGGCCTTCATCCTTAAAAGCACTGCTGCTCGCAGCACGGGCCCCTGGAAGTTGTGGGTTGCGCACCTGCAGAGCTATTTCTTTGAGGCCCTGCCGGACAAGCAACAGTTCATTGATGAGTCACCCGGCTACGATTGCTTCGCCGCATGTTCGCCTTTGGGAAGACTTGTTTCAAGCTGAGGTGGCTGGCCGCGCTGCGCCTTGGCTGGGCAGGAGAGACACAAGTGGACCGTGCTTCAGATATGAGCAGACTGAGGGCTCATCCGAACGTGTGCATCAATGAAGTGGCAGACGTCCAGTGTCGTCCTCGGGTGATGACTGCCATGTACTGTCAGGGTGGCAATGCAGCTAAGCTCCAAGGCGCCTCGATCAAGAGGACATAGCGGTTCTGCCGGTACCTCCACTGGCAGCAAGCTGAGATGCATCAGTGATTAGTTTAAGTGAATTGCTACTTGTCAGTACTACATAGCATGTCAAAACTGTGCCCGTAGCAAAGGTGAAAGGGGTGTTTCGCGACATCTTGGCTTGCGAGGCGGACACGGAGCTTTCTGCAGATTTTAACTCAGTTTTATCTGAAGCACCAGCGTGGATAGATCTCCTGTCGGCATGGAGGCAGAAAAGCATCGAGAGCACACTGAAGTGCTGAAGGACACGCTGGTCAAGTCGCCCAGATTCTGCATGGTGAAGATTAAGTAGCAGTGTTCATTTCCCTGCGGTCTCTATCTGAACAAAGGCACGAAGCGAAGAGTTTCTTGCGCCACTTCGTGCTTGCCTCAACGTCGTTGAGGAATAGACCTGCCATGCTCCGGAGGATCCTCCCACTGAGGCGATCGCAATATGCAACCGCCGCTGGCAGAGTCGAAGTATTTTCAGGATATTCGAGCGAATGGTTGCATGAGCATCTGCCAAGACCTTGCAGAAGGATCTACCCACTTACTCCAGGACCAAAAGAACTACAGACTGATCCTCAAGAGGGAGGAGATCGAGGTACCGAACTCGCTTCATAAGGCGTTCTTCGTCCTTTCACACATCCGCACAATGAGGCCGGCGTGCGGATTGCTGCAAGGCGCATTGAGACCTGGTGCAAAGGGGAGCGCAGGGAACTTACGGGATATGTACGATGATGTGCCCTTGCTGAATCAGCGCCATGCAGATACCGAGGCATAGTTCTCGTGGCAATCCTCAAGGGTGCCTTCATGTTCCTCTCAGATTTGTGCTCCCTGGCTGTAGTGTACAGGCCTACAAGCATGGAGCATAGCACTCCTTGTTGCACATGCCATCCTGAGGTAAGAACTTGATACGATCGACCCTCAGCTCCTTGCGAAGACATCCGATGATGGCAAGGACATGACAGCCAAGACTTCTGCACTTCACTGAGGGCCGTATTCGGTGTATTTCATCGAGGTGCGGCAGAGTTGGGGAGTGGTGCAAAAGGGCGGCAGCCAGAAACTTGCACAGGCGTCTTCGTACAAGGAGAAGCGCGCGCAGTCAGGCCACTTTGCGTTTC